GGTGGTCAAGTCACACTGGACAGCAGTATGTTAATTAAACGGAGTCGCTACATCACAGTTCTGGGCTGATTTGAGTCAGTGAAATAGAAAAAAAATTAACACAATAATAATAAAACGTTTTATTTGTGTGGCACTTTCAAAAGGTACTCAAAGGCACTTTACATGGTAAAAACAGAAACAATAAAAGCAATTACAATACAAACAAAAGAGATGATAAAGCAGGAAGGAACAGCACAAAAACAAACATAACTAGCATCACAGGTTAAAAGCAGATTTGAATAGGTGAGTCTTAAGTGCAGTTTTGAAAGTGGTGAGTGACGGAGAATGTCTGAGGTGTTGGGGGAGAGAGTTCCAGAGAGGGGGGGGCAGCAATGGAGAAGGTCCTGTCCCCACCCCCCCACCCCCAGGTCCGATGCTTGGACAGAGTAGGGGGGGTAAGGAGATTAGCGTTGGCGGATCTGAGGTTGCGGATGGGAGCGTGTCGATGCAGAAGGTCTGATAGGTATAAAGGGGTTTAGGGTTGTGAAGAGCTTTGTATGTAATGGGGAGAATCTTGATTCTTTGCTGTATGGGGAGCCAGTGGAGGTTTTTGAAGAACTGGGGTGATGTGATCTCTGGTGTAGGAGTGGGAGAGCAGACGGGCAGCTGAGTTTTGGATGTATTGTCAATTGACTTGAGTGGACCACAGATTTATGTTTGTAATGACTGTACAGTGTAGTGTAGTGTAGATAGTGTGGCAACTTCCTAAGCCCCACTATACAGTAGCTGCATTCCTCACTGGATTACAGCTCTGCAGCCAGTGTTCAACCCAAGAGTCCCATGCAAGCTTGCGCAGCACAGTCACACCCAAACGCACACAACACAGATGGACCACAGTTTCCTGGGTTAACTCATCTAATTTATCCCTTAATAAACCTTTTGCCCCTGTACTGCTCCTCCCAATGAGCGTATAAGTATGCTTTTGTGCCTGCATGTATATTGTGTGTGTTTGTGTTATATTATTGTCTTCAGCATGTATGACATGTTGAGGAAAAGAGAGATTAAATCCTATCAGTTGAAGACAGAGGGAGGATTGTTTGCTTCCTCCCTTTGCATTGGTTTGACAGTTTAATCTGTGCGGCAGCAGTGTGCTGGCTAACCAAGAGAAACACAGAAGAGAAGAGAGAAGGGAAGAGAGAGAGAGAGAGAGAGAGAGAAAGGGAGAGGGAGGAGAGAGCAGTAGAAAACTGACAAGGTTGCCCAAATAACCTTCATGCTATTTTCTGTCACTCCGAATTCTTCCAAAGACGCGATGGCCAACGCCGTTCGTGATTCCTTCCAACCCTTATTCCTCCATTCCTATCCCACTCCCCTCCCATCCCTGCATCTTGGCCAGAGACCGAGGTCCACCTCGTCTTCACTGATGCGGACAGGCTTGTTAGAAGCAGCTGTTGTTGCTCCTTGGCCAATGAGAAATGGAGGCTCCACCAAACACACAATCTGCCCATCTGGAGAGGCATTAGTGGCAGAGGACACTGAGAACCATTTCTCACACTCACGGCCAACACAGAGGTCAACGAGGTGTCAGAAGACAGAACATCCCTCTTTAACAATCTACAGGCCGGGGTTGAGCTGTGTTTGTGCTGTAAGTGTAGTTACTGCAGTATATATATCAGATTGGATGTTCAGACGTTCATAGTGACATGATCCCCCATCCTCTTCCTCTCCTTGACCCTGCTCGCTGCAGGCTTTAATGGCAAATGAGACCACAATCCATTCTTTGTACTAGAATAGGGTCCACGCACACATATTTACACACTTCACAGACGTTAAGGTCTGTCGTCTTGACAGACCTTTTAGCACCCCGGTTTCGGTTTGTCTCTCGGCTTTCGGGCACCCTTTTTATCTCTGTCACTATTTCTCTCCTGTTTTTTTTTACCAATCATATCGCATTTGTCTTTAACTGGTGGGGGAACATATGTCAGTGACTGTTGTTGTTGTTGTTGTTATGGGAGAAGCATGTTGATGTGCCATCGCGTAGCCTTGACGTCGCCCGGGGTGAATGATTCCATCTGCCTCGATGTACTTTAAGTGACGATGGATCTTCATCCTCACACTGAAAAGGCAAACTTACTCTTTTCCTCCTCTAACCCTCTCCGTCATCTTTGACTCCCTCCCACCCTCTGGTCCCCCCCCCCTCCCACCACCACCACCATATTTGGGGGATTTACACATGAGCCAGTTTATGAAGCACGGCTTAACTGCTAACATTGTCTCATTGTGAGAACAACATCACATTCCATGATCCTCCTGCCCTTCTGATTTTTCATTTCTTTGTACCTCCTAAATAAAGACTTAATACAATACCATACTCTTTTTGTCAAGTTTCTACTGCTTCTAATGTTCCGTTTTATAACTTTAACAATTCCATTATTTTCAACTATTGCTAGGTGATATGGCAAAACATCATGAAAAACAAAACTCACTGGGACTCAAAAGCACTAAAATGTTTGCACGGCTGAATCGGCTATGTTTACAAAGCACACAAAAGTTCGGATTACAGGTCCCTATTTCGTATAGAGAACCTTTTAAAGATGTTGTGTTATTTTAAAGTTATGTTTCCAAGATAAATATGACACATTATTGCATTACCTCCATGTTCTGTATAAAATGATAAATATATCTTAAAGTGTATTCTCCCCCATCTCATTGTGGAGTACTTCTTTAGGGTATGTGTGGTGTTCTGTGAGCTTTGGTTTATTAATGAATGAATTGGCATTTGAAAGTAACTGAGACATAAAGTCAATTACACAGATATCTCTTTTATTTCTTCTCTTTTATGCCCCTCCCAGCTGGCAGCACTCTACACAATTATCTCGTTTGACTTTGCCATAAAACGGACCTAGTTGGATGATTAGTTTAATGGGTGTCGACTGTCAGTGTTGTAACTTCACTTTATGGCATCCAATTTATTTTCAAAGATCACAAAGCATTCCAACACCATGCATTCCACAAGGCCTACCTTTACATATGAACTTTAAAAAAAAACAAGTTGGCAGTGCTGTCGTCTATGCCGTGATTGGCTGTTCTGGCAAAAAACTGCTTCATTAATTAGCCAGTTGGTTAGCCTGCAGTAGAGTAGTGTTGGCGTTGTGTTGGCCCATTCAAATGCTGTTTTCTGACATCTCCCAGATGAGATGCAGCCCATTTCCATTGAAACAATAACAGCAGTCTGATTTGGGATAAATGATGTCTTTGTCTATTGTCTACGGAACAACAAAAAGCATTGGCTCGGAACGCACTCCTCTGTCTAGAGCCCTGCCTAGCCCTATTCACACAGGCATACACATGCACGCATGCAAACCCAAGTGCACAATTGGGATGGGCTGATGTGCGTTTTTACAGACGAATGTATTCTTAGAATTACACGTTATGATCATGCCAGGTGTGAAAGAAAAAAAAGAATCTTATCGGGTGACAGCTTTGAAAGAGCAATTTCATTTTGTACTTCAGTGTTGGTGGAGAAGGGATTTAGTTAGGTATTCAAAATTCTTGCATGGAGTGCTATACATTTTCATGGTTTATATTTTTGATATGGTTGTAATATCTGACAACTTCATACACACACCTGGCTGTCAAGTCACCACACGGGAGAAGCAGTAGCTATTTAATTGGACAACTGCATTCTAAACAGATCATTTTACACACTGGTGGGATTTGCAAACTTGGCCTGTTTTTGTGACAGTGACAACTTAAAGAGAGGTTTTTTTGACACTGGGCTTTGGCACTGTCAGTACTAGCGATAACTAGCAATCATAACACAAGGCCACGTTATCGTTCACCTCTGTCTCGATTTGATTCTTTCTGTATTTCTTCCCGTCCCTCTCTAGGAACTCACACAAGTCCTGCAGCGAGAGCCTGTAAATCCTACACATGGGGCTCACACTACATATACGACACTTTTTAGTGAGGTTTTAGTCATGCAGGTCAACTTTATTGGAGGTACAACTTTATTGGCAACGGAGAGTGTGTGGTGCACTTTGCTGTGCTGAGGGTACTAATCTGTCTCATTGACGTATATAGCTGGGCAGGGCTGGGTCCGGCTGGGATCCTGTGAAGAGGAGTGGGAAGAAGGATGGGTAATGAGCAGAAGGAGTCATTTCCTTTTGGATTTTAGAGACATCAACACAATGTCACACCCCAGAGGGAAGTGAGATAAAGAGAGGGATGAGTTGCGTTCAGTGCCAGGGTGATGATGAAGTTCGAGAGAGGCTGGGAGAGCAGTGGGGTGTAGAGACATGAGCGAAGTCCACTTTAAGGAACGGATTTCACCCGATGTCAGCAGAAAAAGCGTTTGTGTGTGTGTAACTCCATGTGTGTGTTTGCGGGGACTGTGATTAAAAGGAGTGCTTAATATCCACCCTGCCCTCATCACCCTGATTTATCTCTGATTGGCAGTAATGACACAGTTCGGGCTGTCCGTCATCTGCTGCTGGAGATTAGACACCCAGTCAGTCCTCCATCATGACATGTGTGTGATGATGATGGTGGGAGTTCAGTTTTTATTTCGCCGTGTCCCACGGGGCAGATAAACACAGTGCATGGCGGCACGTGTTTGTTGGGTATAACTTGGTCGAACACATATAAACGTGCATTGGTTGCTGAACAGTAATTATGTGGCACTGTAAATGCGTTTTTAAAACGTTTCGAAGCACTCTTCAAAATACATTATTGGCACTTTCGACTCAAACGCCCACAGCTGTGCTTCTTCTGATTTGCAAAATGAACTCTCTTTGAAATGTAACAGACATAATCGTACATAATTGTTCATGTCTGATTGTTTTTGAAAACCCTGGAGATGAGATGGTGGGAATGGTGATTGGATGATGATAATCCCCTTATGTACAGTTTTACAAGCCCAAAGGACTCTGAACATTAAAGAGGATTATCATGATTACATTGATGAGCCAAACCATTCATCTCTGTCTGCTTCTCTCTTCCCCTCTCCCTGTTTCTTACAGCACATACAGACGTCTCAAGTGAAGGAAAGTCCATTGGGAGACAGCCCGGCAGTGACAGCCCACATGAGAACCCTTCCAAGCCCCCCTCAGTGAAGGTGATAGGGGGCTCGCCGTCCGCCAGCTGGGCACGGCCCTGGAGCCTTGCACTGCTCTTTGCTGCACTTTGCCTGCAGTGGACCCTGTTCTGATGCCAGCGCACCCTCCGTGAATCCCCCACTGCCCCCCTTTCTAGGAACCACACACATGCACAGAGACACTCATATCATTTACATATCCAGCATAGCATCCTTACTCCTGTCTTCAACGTGCTTGGATTGGATGGTAATGCTGGACGAAATGAACTGGCAAGCAAGACAAGGCGTGGAAGAGAAGAGGGACAACGTTGTAGGAGACTGTAGATGGGGGGGGGGGGCTCTCGCAGGAACCTGTTGTCTTGCAGCATCACCAATGTGGTGGTTTTCACAAGCTAATCTTATGCACGCTCACCTACAAAGATTAGGCCGCTACTTCTAGGCTGTTTCGGTGCTAGACGTTTGCATATACAGACACCAGTGCAGCCCCACCGCTCGCACACAAGCATACCCTTTGAGGCTTAGAACGGGACCTTTACTTAAAAGCGCTTACACATTTACAGACTCACGTACACGTTTACCCATGAACAGTACAAATACAGCCATCTTCTTTTTCTGCGGTTGGCTTTTACTTATCCTTTGAGGCTAAACAAAAAAAAAAAAAAGACTCATCACGGCCACTGCACCATTTGCCAGTCATGCAGAAGAATTCAGCTCATTTGAAAACTCTACTCATTTTATATTCGAGGATTAAGGAATGCATGATAGATTGATAGATCGATTCCCAGGTGCCTGGCCCAGAACAGCAGATTTGATGTACTCTAATGACTGCGTACCCTGGCGGGGATTAGAATGTAATGAGTTCACAGGTAGAGCACTGGCACGGCTGAACACATTGCGCAAAGAAACTAGGTGTGTATAGTGTGTAACTGTATATAAGTGGAAGAATTTGATGGAGTGTATGAGGTTCTGATTCAACAAAAAGCTCTTAATTGATTGAGCTGAATGGCGTTTTCTTTTCCCTTTGCTATGAATGGACTGTGCTTGTCTGCTCCATACTACATATAAAAAAACTGTAGAGATTTAATTTCTGTAAAAAAATAAAGCGGGAATGCACATCATTTTTCCAAATTAAGCCATTGACATAAATGGATACATTTTGGGTGTTTGAACAAAGCCTGTACATTGTTGATTTTACTAATGTTTATTGTGCATCCAGTTTTGTGTGTTTGCTCGTTGAATTGCACATTAATGCATGTATGACCTACCAAGTTATCATAATTATTATGGTAGGATCAGGCTTTTCTCCGGGAAGCCTCAAAAGCGTTTTTCAGTACATCTTACAGGACATCAGGTTTTCTCTTCCTCACTCAAATGATGGCTTGGTACTTGAAATCATAAGGAAAGTTGGGCTGCAGATTCATCACAAGCAGATTCAAATACAATTCAACACACACACACAAAGACATGTCGAATGTTTCTTTTTTCAAAGTTGGTTGCATCTATTGTCCAGTATATTGGTAGCCCTTGTGCAAGTCCCTTTTCATGAATTTGTCATACATTTTGCCAAATAAGCTCTAATGTCTCTTCACTCACTCTTAAGCAGACCATTCCTTTGAATTCCATCAGAATAAAAGCAAACCCTTCTTTGTTTTAAATGATTCCTCATGGGGAGGTTCAACAAAGGTGTAACTGCTGCAATGGCTTCCTCTGTATACCTGTTGTCTCTCTTGTGTAGATGAGGATGGTTTATGTACTGGTGTGGAAAAGTACCTGTGTGAATGATGATGAATGTTTGGTCAATGCTATGCAGATACGGTATTAAACCTGATTATGCCTAAAATGCAGTTGCAGTATCTAAGCTAAATAGGTCTATACACTTACATGTGCAGTGAAATACCTCTTCCACTAACAAGCCTGTATTGTAAACAAGTCTTCCTCTCCCTGTTGAAAAGTAACTCACCATTGGCTCTGCCTAAAAGTGGAAGGATGACCCGCTTAACTACTTGCATATACATACAATTATACATTAAAGCGTTGCAGTTAATGGAGAATGGAGATTTTAGCTGTTTACTGTGTCACACCATGTGTTCTGTAACCACATTTGTTTAGTTCATATGATTTCCTCCATGTACGTTTTGTTCATGACTGTCGTTCATTGCACCCACCGATCACTTATGGTCCTTTACCCTCGCATGTGTATAAATGTACATATTTTAAGTCACTCGCCATTTGTTTTGTGTCTCATTTCCTCTCTTTTGGATCAGTACAATACCGGATAGCTGAGCTCTGTTTTTCTTTTTCTTGCTTGTCTCGATAGCCTCACCTTTATAGAGTATCAGTCACAACAGACTGCTTGGAAAATATGTCCATAAAGGCCCTGCACACCTATCACACATACTTATTTTTCGTGAATAGTCCTCTTCCTAGGACTGTGTGGGCTTACACAGACTGTGCCTGATTGAGAGGTGTAGGTGTGAAGGCTCTTAAAGATGTCATGCTGACAGTCGGCTCCATCGCTGACGAGAGGACAGATGCTTTCGCGTTGGAAAGACGTGTCACCAGTGAAGTTACGTAGTTACTGGTTGGCAATGTCTTGACACACAAATCTGATCTCATCACTTGCAGATACCAGTGCCGACAGTCTGTCTGATAAATCAGATTTGACGGAACAAATTCAATTTGCCTGCAGCATTGGATGGTACTACAAAGTGTATTTTTGAAGCAGAGAGACCCAGGCTATCTGTTTCACTCTGCCTCCAGTCCGTATGCTAAGCTAATCGCCTCCTGGCCCTCTGCTCCATAGATAGCTCACAGACATGAGAGTCATGTAACACTCAAAAAAGGTGAGTATTATATCTTCCCAAAATGTTGAGCTACTTCAAAACCAATACTTAGTAGGCTAACTATGATTACATTGCTTCCTGTCCCTGAGAACACACCACTGTTTCATTGACCATACTGGACTGTGAGTTATGAGGGGGTAGGCAGGGCAAGCCGTCTCAGTCTGACCTTCTCTATTTGCATCCAGGAAGCCTCTTGCTGAACATATCGGTCCGTGGTTGTACCAGGAACAGAGGCGGAGGGGAGTGTGAGAGTGCAGAAGACAGGAAAAGGTTTGCTGCTGGAAAGGACAGTCAGCCGTGATGACAGCAGTGTCGACAGTGACCGTTTGCTCGCTGATTGGCTGCTCCTGTAGGGGGGGGGGGGGACTTTGTCTATTCATGGGCTATAATTTCCCTGAATTACTCTGTGCTGTCAGCTGCAGTGCTAGCATCACTGTTAGCCTAGCTCAGCTACCGTTGGACACATTTAGGCACAAAGCAAGCACAAAGAGAGCCACTGTTAGTGAGAGCAGAAACAAGTTGGCGGGGTGGTGCACAAACTACTAGAATGCCCACAATGAGATTCAAATAGAGTGACGTTATGGCCTAAAGTAGGTGTATGTCACGTTTGATGGATTATTTTAGCGTCACCAGGCAAAGCCAGAGGCGTCATCAAGCCATACAATGGGACAGAAGCAACGTTTTTTGCAGTATAGCTTATAATTGGTCTTCAGGGTAACACTGGTCTTTTTTTCCCCTCCACAGTGATTATAAAAGCATTTGATGGCAATGTTTCAGGCGACAGTGTCCCTCCGAGTCTCACCACACCTCCCACTGTTTTAGCCATCAGCCTGGGAGCACATAACTAATAGCACTTTCCTGGCTAAAGCACACAATGTCCATGAGCTCCCTCTCACTCTCTTTTGTCTCTCCCACACACACATACACTTTTGTGAACACCAGAATCATCACAAAGACACACCGGTGATCTCATTCACACACACACCCCGTCCCACAGTTCCACTCTTCCAATTGCACGCAGTCTGTATTTGATCCTTGCCTATTTCATGCTTGTTGCTGTGAAACTGAGTGTCTGGCTGGCTGCAGACGAGAGCAGGGAGAGTGCCCAGTCCAAGGATATCGTGCCTCCTCTTTGCCTGAGCTGTAATTGGACTGCATTGTCCTCGCCTGAAAAAAAAAACCAAAGCCGTCTGTCGTCCTTTTATAACCTCCGGTGACTGACGCGGAAAGCCATGGATGAATTTAAAATATGGACAATAATGGGATGAAACTCAGACACTGAAAGTGAATTAGTCTGAAAATTACTTTTATCCGTTCCCTCTCTCTGAAGTTAGCTTTCTAAAGACAGTGTGATGGGCAAAAGGGTATGAATGATTTAGTGTATCCTACTGTAGGTACAGACATACACACACACACACACACACACACACACACACACACACACACATTGCAAGGAGCAGTGTGGTCACTGAGTGTAACAGAGTTCCGGGGACCTGAGGTCACAGCTGCTCAGCTGTCTGTCTGGGCTATTTTAAACGGTAGCACACATCAGCGCTTCTGTCCCACTGGCTTGGCCAAGTCCAATCTTATACACTCTCACACACACATACACACACACACACACACACAGACTTTTTTTTCATTGGTAAGGAGTAGATCTAATGCTAATTCACACATTCAGAGAGATCAGTTGCCGTGAAAAACGCCTCAAGATGAATGACTGCACTTTCCAACAGATCTTCCCTGAAGTCAACCTGATTGTGCGGTAGCAGGTTGACAGCAGTGCAGGATCAACCCCCCCCCCCCCCCCCATTGTCTAACAATTTCATTTTTGTGGATCAGAGAGACAACCTTGAACCAGGAGGAGGGAGGCACTGGAAACTGGAAATAGCTTTTCAAAGATGAACAATTGGGTGAGGTAGAGGGGAAACGAAGGGGGACCTGCGGCTCCTATTAACCACAGCTCTCCGTCTAGAGTTTCGAGTTGTCAATTGTATCCATTCCCCTCTGCGCAGAGCCCCCCATGCCCTAACAACAGGATAACACAAGCTGTCACTGCCAATTCTCCCTCTGTCACCCTGCTCCGTCGGCCAATTAGCATTATACTCAATGAGCTCTTGAGCTGACTGATTCGGTCCAATTAAACACATTTTCAACCATCAAGAGGAGCCTCAGCAACAGTGTCAGAAATCAAATCTCTAACGCAAGAACTTGTGCTGGATTCCTCCTCCTCACTGATTGGCCTCACTTGTCAGATCTGTTTCCCATCATGCACTGCTGCTAGCAGAGGGCAGGTAAACAGTGTTGGGAGGTGTTACCCTCCTGTCAGCTACCATAAGGTTGTTGTCATTTTCTTTCTGGAAAACAAATGTGGGGGCAATGCACAACATTTTGTTGCTGACTGACGACTGGCATATAAACAGAAGCAGTCATGTGCAGGACAAAACATCCATGCATACCAACAATTGTAAAAGTTTGCACAAGTCGTCCTACACTCAGTAGACAGCTCCCTCTGGCAAGTCATGCTGGATGTGTATGAACAGCACTGAATATGAACGCGAAAATGCAGAACAGCCATTCAGCTGTGCTATAATCTTAGAATCCCAATTTATCCTGCAGACATGAACCTCCACACCGCGTCTGGCATGGATCCTTTTCTAACCGCTCTAAGGAGCCCCAAAGGTGATGAGGTATTCTGGACTTTGCTGCCTACCAGACACTGTACTCCTATGTGTCCCTGACCATGACTCAAGCAAGAGAGAGAAGAAAGAAAGCAACTTGGATGAAGCAGAATATAAAACGTTACACATACCCTGTATCTTTCAACTATAGAGGATACGACAGTAGCGAAGCCAGTACAACAAGCTGTTGCTTGCAGAGCAATAATGTCTCCTCATTCGCCAGCTCCGTATAGGTTGTTTGCAGAAGTAAAAAAAACATTCCATTTTTGTCCAGTTTCAAAAGACACCCGTCTGTCTGTTCATACTCGCTGTGTAGTTATGTTTCCTGCCACAAGAAACAGCATTGCACTTGTCTGATTTCATATTACTACATTTATTAGTAAGACTTTCTGACCAACCATAATGTCCACATTGACATGATATCTGTCTTTCGTCATCTGTTAGAGTCTACTTTTCACTTGACTAAGCTACCACAGTGATGATGCTATGGCAAGAGAGAGAGCCAGTGAGCAACAGACAAATAAACCTGCATCTTAGTCTTTATATTAGACCAACAGATGTATGCAACGTGCACATGGCACAAACAGTCATACACATTGCACAAAAAAGACCTCAAAGTTATTTCCTGGCCCGTGAAAGAAAACACAAGTGCTGGGTGAGCACGAGTTGTCATTAGAACGTATTGCGTCTTAATGCGGCTATGCAGAGGGGCCCGGACGTTAGTCACCGTGAAAGTCTGCCTGTTAGGAAAACAGATTAACTATGTCGCCACATGACAATGCCCAGCCGGGGAGAAATGTGGCCCCACTAGTATGAGCCCCCATTCCAATTAGACTGGTGCGGTCTGCATTGGTGTGTGTGTGTGTGTGTGTGTGTGTGTGTGTGTGTGTGTGTGTCACACATGTTCAAGGCTGGCCTGCATCTCATGGTGAATTCTTTGTCAGGCTCCCTCTGTTTGGCCTGCTACAGACAGCCTCCTTCCTCATGTCCTGGAGATGGATGAGCACTGGTGTGAATGTTCCATGGCTCCCTTGGGTGCCATTCCACCTTTCTAACTTTCTCTCCTTTTCTTTCTATCCCTATCAGGCTGAAACAGAATTCACACATTCTCCTATATGACTATTGTATTAGTTCTCTGTGTCTTATTTTTACATTTTCTTAATATAACCTTTTTATTGT